TTCGATGATAAACGCAAATCCGACCATCACCCCTGGTGAGACAAAACCACGACTCGTCAGTGAAGAGCACTTTTTGCCAGTCCTGTCTGGTCCAGCGACGGTGGGTTTGTGCCCATAGGCGACGTTGTTGCCGGTGATGTCTGGTGAGGACCTGCCTTACAACAGGCCTACAAGCCCTCAGTCCAGCCTCTCTCAGCCTATTGCGGACAGTCTGAGCACTGATGGAGGGATTGTGCGTTCCTGGTGTAACTCAGGCAGTTGTTGTTGCCATCCTGTACCTGTCCCGCAGGTGTGATGTTCAGATGTACCAATCCTGTACAGGTGTTGTTACACGTGGTCTGCCACTGCGAGGACGATCAGCTGTCCGTCCTGTCTCCCAGTCTTAGGCGTATCACAGTATGGACATTTTATTAATTATTAATTTATTTAAATGAATTGCCCTGGCCACATCTGCAGTCCTCATGCCTCCTTGCAGCTTGCCTAAGGCACGTTCACGCAGATGAGCAGGGACCCTGGGCATCTTTCTTTTGGTGTTTTTCAGAGTCAGTAGAAAGGACTCTTTAGTGTCCTAAGTTTTCATAACTGTGACCTTAATTGCCTACCGTCTGTAAGCTGTTAGTGTCTTAATGACCATTCCACAGGTGCATGTTCATTCATTGTTTATGGTTCATTGAACAAGCATGGGAAACAGTGTTTAAACCAGGGGTGTCAAACGTCCAGCCCGCGGGCCGGATCAGGCCCGCAAACGGGTTTAATCCGGCCCGCGAGATGATTCTGTAAAGTATAAAAATGAGCTGCAATTTTTCAATAAAATAAACTGCTGTTCCAATTGTGTCCACTGGACAGCGCAATAGCAATTGTGTTAAGCAAGCAAACTGTTTATACCGGGGCAGAGCAAATAGGTCAAGCAAGTGCAGCCAGTCCGGATGAGCTACTTTGTTTTGCCCGCGATATTTATTACGGCTTCTACTTTTAACATTATGTGATTTGGCACCCTCATTGCCCCAATATGTCTCTGTCAAAAAAGAGAAAAGTGGACGCAGAGTGCAGAGTGTTCCAAGAAAAATTGTCATCCTTCTATTTATTCACGGAATTGAATGGGAAAGCTGTATGTTTGGTGTGTTCACAGCATGTTGCAGTGCTGAAAGAATATAACCTTCGTCGCCATTATGTGAGTCTTCATGCCGACAAATATGACAACTTTCAAGGACAGCGGAGAAGAGAGAAGGTGAATGAACTGTTGGTGGGTCTGAAGAAACAGCAGTCTGTGTTTACTCACAGCCGAGACATCAGTGACGCTGCAGTGAAAGCTAGCTACCTCATTGCTAATGAAATCGCAGTGGCTTCAAAACCATTTAGTGAGGGTGAATTTGTAAAAACATGCATGATGAAGGCAGCAGAGATTGTGTGCCCTGAAAAGCACCAGGCTTTTGCAAATATCAGCCTGACAAGAAACACAGTTGCAGACAGGATTTCCGATCTTTCAGTGGATTTGGACAGCCAGTTGAAGCAAAAAGTAAAGTCATTTATTGCGTTTTCGGTTGCAATTGATGAAAGCACGGACATTACAGATGTTGCACAACTGGCCATTTTCATCCACGGAGTTGATGACACATTGACCGTCACCGAGGAGTTCGTGGAGTTGGTGCCGATGACAGATACAACGACAGCAGCTGATATTTTCACTGCACTCGTCGGCGCGCTGGACAGGGTCTGAGTGGACTGGTCCCGCGCTGTCAGCCTGGCTACAGATGGTGCGCCCTCAATGATCGGGAAAAAAGCAGGCGTTGTGACAAAGTTCAGAGAGAAAGTGCAATCTGCAAATGGAGGACGTGATTTTTGGACTTTTCACTGTATTTTGCACCAGGAGGCTTTGTGTTGCAAGTCATTAAAGATGGATAACGTCATGAAGGTGGTCATCCAAACTGTTAATTTCATCCGATCCAGAAGCCTGAATCACCGTCAGTTTGACAGCCTTCTCAGAGAGAAAGACCACATCTATGGCCTGCCATACCACACTGAGGTAAGATGGTTAAGCCGAGGTGCTGTGCTGAGGCGTTTCTTTGATTTACGAGAAGAAATTGAACAGTTCATGGAAGAAAAGGGCAAACCAGTGTTAGAATTTCATTCCGCAGAATGGATGCAGAACCTTGCATTTATGGTGGATCTTACAGAGCACCTGAATAACTTGAACAAACAGCTGCAAGGGCGCAACGCCATAGATGTGGTCTTTCTCTCTGAGAAGGCTGTCAAACTGACGGTGATTCAGGCTAGGTCCAAAAGACTTCTCAACAGCTTCTACCCCCAAGCCATAAGACTCCTGAACAGCTAATCATGGCTACCCGGACTATTTGCACTGCCCCCCCACCCCATCCTTTTTACGCTGCTGCTACTCTGTTAAGTATTTATGCATAGTCACTTTAACTCTACCCACATGTACATATTACCTCAACTACCTCAACTAGCCGGTGCCCCCGCACATTGACTCTGCAACGGTACCCCCCTGTATATATAGCCTCCCTACTGTCACTTTATTTTACTGTATATATAGCCTCCCTACTGTCACTTTATTTTACTTCTGCTCTTTTTTTCTCAACACTTTTTTTGTTGTTGTTTTATTCTTACTTTTTTTGTTTAAAATAAATGCACTGTTGGTTAAGGGCTGTAAGTAAGCATTTCACTGTAATGTCTGCACCTGTTGTATTCGGCGCATGTGACCAATAAAATTTGATTTGATTTGATTTGAACAAAGTTGCCACGCAGTATTATGACAGCATACGTTCTTTCAAGTTGAAGCTGTCATTGTGGGAGAAGCAACTCGCCGGTGGTGATGCAGCTCACTTCCCCTGTCTGAAAAATGTGTGCGCGACCCAACATGTGGCAGACATGAAGCGGTTCAAAGATAAAATAACGGGACTGTTAAGGGAGTTTGAGCAACGCTTTCAGATTTTTGGTGAACTGGAGAAAGACTTCAAAGTTTTTTGTTCGCCATTCACCGTGAATCCCTCTGATCTGCCCGTCAGCATCCAACTTGAAATAATAGACTTGCAGTGTGACTCGGATTTGAAGGGCAAATTTGCTGCAGCTGGCTTGGACACATTTTATCAGAATCTCTTGCCAGGTTACCCCAACTTGACAGCCCTCACTGCAAAACTGTTGTGCATGTTTGGAACCACATATCTTTGTGAGCAAGTTCTCTGTAATGAGCATAAATAAAACAAAGCTGCGCTCAAGGCTCACGCACAAGCACTTGAATCACATCCTGAAGTTGGCTGCCACTCAGGATGTGACGCCTGATATTGATGCGCTGGTGAAAGCTAAAAGATGCCAGGTATCAGGAGTCAAATAAACTATGCAACCCCACTTAAAGTGCTGCATGAGACACCCTGATATAGTTCTGTGATCTGTGATATACTTCTGTGAATCACTGAGGCATTGTGTGTTTGTGTGTTGTTTGTCCTCAGAATTTCAAATAACTTGAGGTGTTTTATGATTAATAGTGATGTTGTGCTTTTGGACACACTGTCCTCAGGCTCCAGCTTTATGTTTATATGTTTTTATGTTGATGTGCTATTGTTTTTAATTGATTTTATTTTTTTTGTATATTTAACCTATTCTTGACTCTGTGGTTCTTGCACTTGTTTGGGGAACAGGATTTTATTATTTGTATCTACATTTCTGCCTGAGAAATGACCCCCTGATATAGTTCTGTGATCTGTGAAACAGTCCTGTGAATCACTGAGGCATTGTGTGTTTGTGTGTTCTTTTTCTTTAGAATTTTCAAATAAACTTGAGGTGTTTTATGATTAATAGTGATGTTGTGCTTGTACTATTTTGGACACACTGTCCTCAGGCTCCAGCTTTATGTTTTATGTTGATCATACTAAAACAAAGAAAACAATCTGAAGTTGTTGTTTTTAAGTTATATATACCATGATTTTACCGGTCCGGCCCACTTGGGAATAGATTTTCCTCCATGTGGCCCCTGAGCTAAAATGAGTTTGACACCCCTGGTTTAAACCCTTTAAAATTAAGATCTGTGAAGTTATTTGGATTTTTACAAATAATCTTTGTAAGACAGGGTCCTGAAAAAGGGACGTTTCTTTTTTTGCTGAGTTGACATATAGATAGTGGTAAAGTGACTAGGCAGCAGGATAGATAAGACAGTACCAGCAGCGTATGTGGTGAGTGTGAAAGTGTGTGTGTGTGTGTGGCGTCAGTATGCATGTGTGTGCATGTTATGTGTGTGTGGGTGTGTGGGTAGAGTCCAGTGTGTGTGCATAGAGTCGGTGCAACAAAGGGTTAATGCAGGTAGTCCAGGTAGCCATTTGATTAGCTATTTAGCAGTCTTGTTTAACAGTCTTATGGTTTGGGGGTAGAATCTGTTCATGGTCCTGTTGGTTCCAGACTTGGTGCACTGGTACCACTTGCCGTGTGGTAGCCGATAGAACAGTCTATGGCTTGGGTGGCTTGAGTCTTAAAATTTTTTTTGTGTCTTCCTCTGACACCGCCTGGTATAGAGGTCCTGGAAGGCAGGGAGTTTGGCCCCAGTGATGTACTGGGCAGTACTCACCACCCTCTGTAGTGCCTTGGGTGATGAAGCCAGTCAAAACGCTCTCAATGGTGCAGCTGTCAAACTTTTTGAGGATCTGAGGGCCCGTGACAAATATTTTCAGCCTCGAGTGGGAAGAGGCGCTGTCGTGCGCTATTCACAACTGTGTGGGTATGTGTGGACCATGTTAATTCCTTAGATCATGATATTGTAATAGACATAATAGTAATAATAATAATATCTTATCAGATCATGAACAGTGCATATGGCAAAGGGTCCAATGGAGGGACTTCTTTCGACTGTGCTGTGTTTTAGTGAAGTTAGCTGACATGGTTGGACAGATAATTATTACCTTCTGGTAAAGTTAATCCTGTCTAATAAAAGGCATATGAGGTAAATGTTTAGATTTTTAAAAAGTGAAGCTTAGAGAAAACACATTTTTCAAAGTGCCACTTTATTACAAAAGTATAAACTTGACTGACATTTTCATGAATAGTAATCTTGATATAAAACATTACAATCTTTTGCATTTTTAGCACTTAATTACAAGCTTGGAGTACAAGACCCTGTAGTCTGATTAGCAAACACACAACATTAGCTGCCACATAAAACTTAGCTTGGCTTTTCAAAGAACACATCATAGCTTAAATGGCTTTGAAAAATAAACAAAAGCACACCAAAATTCACATTGTAACGTCTTTGCAATTTTGCCACCAGATAAGTCATTCCAAAAATACAACCAAACATAAATAGTAAAAGATAGATTTCTTGACACCAATTATATATTTATTATTATTTCTCTTTTTGTAACATACACACGCACACATTGCATCAACATACATAATAATAACCACATTGTGTGCTGGTATATTTGGTCAAATGAAGTTTTCTTCTTTAGTATCCAGGTTGAGATGACGTTTTGTGCTATACTTCTTATATGCTCCTTTACAATATCTCTGTTGTATCGTTGTCATTTATTGTCACTGCACTGTTGTTGTTTTTCTGTATATTTAAGATGTCACTGGGGATTGAGAGGAGATCAAAATGTTCATCAGTGGAGTGATGAGACACAGTAGCTATAGAGGGTTTGATAATGGATGTCAGTTCCACCTGCGTTCAGAGTTGAGGAGGGTGAAATCACCACCATCAGTGATCGGGATCGTGAGGCAGAAGCAGTATCTTGATTGATCCACAGTTTGTGTAGACTCCACCAGCATGCCCCCTTGACTTGATATGGCCCCTATGGTTCAGATAGTAGCATCCTCTCCTCTCTGTGTTAAAGATGAAGGCAGTGACCAACTTGACAGTAACCATTACCAGAGATTCCCAGTGACCAAAGCTATCCTGAATCAGAATGACATTTTGCTCTCTAAGAGAAACAAAGCAACGTAATAACTAAACAATCAACAACAGTAACAAAAAAAAAACGTTCTTAGGTACCACGACAGTGCTTGATTTGATTTTTTTTTAGCATGCAACACTAAGCAGGCAAAGTGCAAGAACTGGATCGACAAAATAAAACAATTAATTTACAGATGGCAGTGGAGACAGTTATCAGTCCATGTGATATGTAACAAATGAAAAGGGAAAAATATATTGTATTATCATCTGTGAATATGGTCAAAATTATTTGTGTTTTTTGTAGGGAGGAATGCAACAATGTGTGCAATTTAGTTAATTATTCTCTCATAATTTGACTCTTGGTCCCTGAGCTTTCAAGTCTTTTGATTAATATTTAATTTATTTACTTTTAATATTTTTAATTCCTTCCTGAATCACACCTCAACCAACTTGGGTGAAAGGTCTGCCATACACAGACTAAGTGCTACATCGGGAGTAAACTGAAAGTTGTGCTCATTCCTAAACTAGGGCTCCAGGATTGCCAGTACAATAACACTGTTTTAACCATAGAAATGAATTATATTTCAATGGTTATACCCGCAAAAATTGGGAAGAATTTAGGCAATTTTCCCTCTAATTGTGCTCTGCACATTGTTAAAATAGTGCTACCATCCTACAGATTTTTCTGTAATAGTTTTGTGCTCATTTCTCATCAATACCTTTGGATTCAAGGTAGGGTTTTGACCCAGCCAAGGACTTTCTCTTCAGCCCAGGTTGTTAACCACTGACCAACACTGTTGCCCTAGGCTCTGAAAGGCAGGAAGTTATGACTGTAATGTAAACATGTGTGAGTGAGCATGAGAGGGGCTCAACCAGCTTTCCTTAACTGTGGTCTTCTTTTTAAATGCTAAGGAGGTGAGAGGTCACAGGTCACAGAGGGAGCAGCCTTAGAGCCCAGTGACATACATCTCCATGCCGTCGTTGAAGGTGAAGATGGTGGTGGTGCTGGAAGTGGCAGTTCCGCCCTGCTTCATGTCCCCAATACTCTCGTACAGGTTCTCCCCAGGCAGCAGCAGGGCTTTGGCTGGAAGGTGCTGTAACTTGGGGGTCTGCTGTGTGGGCGGCGGAGGGGGAGGCTGCTGCTGCTGCAAAGGCTGCTGGGACTTCTTCCTCCTGGGCCTGAGGGTGGCGCAGGTGTTGGGAGGCCGTTCGGTTCCTCCGACTCGCTTCCAACCCCCACCACCTTCCATTGGCTCATAGGCAGGGTTGCATTCCTCCCCCATCCCGATGGACTCGTAACAGTGGTCCTCCAGAGTTGCAGAGGCTCCTCCGACGAGCTTCCCTTCCTGCGGGGCCCAGTTCTGGGGCTTGACTACCACACTGAATCCCCCGTCTCGCTCCCGGTCCCGGTCGCCGCGCCCCAAGGTCCGGAAGCCAATGTTTGCTGGGGGAGACCCAGGAACAGTTCTCTTCTTCTTGCCTGGTTTGCACACCTTGGAGTACATCTCTGCAGCCTGGAAACCACAAAGCACAGGACAACCTTCAGTACTATTCAGTCTGATAAACACCATGAACACAGACTTTGTAATGACATACATACTCACCAGAGGAGGCTGGTGAGACAAGCTATAGTAGGACGGGCTCATTGTAATGGCTGGAATGGAATTAATGGAATGGTATCAAACACATCAAACATATGGAAACCACATGTTTGACTCTGTTCCATTAATTATATTCCAGCCATTACAATGAGCCCGTACTCCCATAGAGCCACCCACCAACCTCCACTGATACTCACCATAGCAGTAGATGGCTGTATGTTCTCTCCACTGTGAGGACTCAGAGGGCCTAAGGGTTTGTTTTGGAGCATGGTGATTTCATCATCCTCTGGAGGCTTCCATATGTACTGCTCTCCATTACCCATGAAAACTGCCTCCTGCCAGCCAATCAGAGAACAGGAGAAATGAGTTGTCAACACATCACATATGATTAAGATGAAACACAGCAATAAAACAAACAAAACATAATGCTTTGGTATAATACTTGCGGGAGTGTAATGAAAAGTTAGGTTTCAGGCTAATTGTTCAAAATGCCTTTGCTCTCCTCTGCTAAGGAGCATACAAGTAATTCCTTTTAAAAAATCCTCATCAATCTACACACAATACCCCATAATGACAAAGCGAAAACTGGTTTTTAGACATTTTTGCAAATGTATTAAAAACAAAAAACAGAAATACCTTATTTACATAAGTATTCAGACCCTTTACTATGAGACTCGAAATTTAGCTCAGGCGCATCCTTTCCATAGATCATCCTTGAGATGTTTCTACAACTTGATTGGAGTCCACCTGTGGTAAATTCAATTGATTGGACATGATTTGGAAAGAAACACACACCTGTCTATATAAGGTCCCACAGTTGACAGTGCATGTCAGAGCAGAAACCAAGCCGTGAGGTCAAAGGAATTGTCCATAGAGCTCCGCGACTTGATTGTGTCGAGGCACAAAAATGTCTGCAGCATTGAAGGTCCGTAAGAACACAGAGGCCTCCATCATTCTTAAATGGAAGAAGTTTGGAACACACCAAGACTCTTCCTAGAGCTGGCCGCCCGGCCAAATTGAGCAATCGGGGGAGAAGGGCCTTGGTCAGGGAGGTGACCAAGAACCCAATGGTCGCTCTGACAGAGCTCCAGAGTTCCTCTGTGGAGATGGGAGAACCTTCCAGAAGGAAAACCATCTCTGCAGCACTCCACCAATCAGGCCTTTATGGTAGAGTGGCCAGACGGAAGCCACTTCTCAGTAAAAGGCACATGACAGCCCGCTTGGAGTTCGCCAAAAGGCACCTAAAGGACTTTCAGACCATGAGAAACAAGATTCTCTGGTCTGATGAAACCAAGATTGAACTCTTTGGCCTGAATGCCAAGCGTCACGTCTGGAGGAAACCTAGCACCATCCCTACGGTCAAGCATGGTAGTGGCAGCATCATGCTGTGGGGATGTTTTTCAGCGGCAGGTACTGGGAGACTAGCCAGGATCGAGGAAAAGATGAACGGAGCAAAGTACAGAGAGATCCTTGATGAAAACCTGCTCCAGAGCGCTCAGGACCTCAGACTTGGGCGAAGGTTCACCTTCCAACAGGACAACAACCCTAAGCACACAGCCAAGGCAATGCAGGAGTGGCTTCAGGACAAGTCTCTGAATGTCCTTGAGTGGCCCAGCCAGAGCCCGGACATGAACCCAATCGAACATCTCTGGAGAGACCTGAAAATAGCTGTGCAGCGACGCTCCTCATCCAACTTGACAGAGCTTGAGAGGATCTACAGAGAAGAATGGGAGAAACTCCCCAAATACATTTACATTTTACATTTTAGTCATTTAGCAGACGCTCTTATCCAGAGCGACTTACAGGAGCAATTAGGGTTAAGTGCCTTGCTCAAGGGCACATTAACGTCATTTAGCAGACGCTCTTAGCCAGAGCGACTCACAAATTGGTGCGTTCACCCTATAGCCAGTGGGATAACCACTTTACAATTTACAATTTGGGGGGGGGGGGGGGTTAGAAGGATTGCTTTATCCTATCCCAGGTATTCCTTAAAGAGGTGGGGTTTCAAATGTCTCCGGAAGGTGGTGAGTGACTCCGCTGTCCTGGCGTCGTGAGGGAGCTTGTTCCACCATTGGGGTGCCAGAGCAGCGAACAGTTTTGACTGGGCTGAGCGGGAACTATGCTTCCGCAGAGGAAGGGGAGCCAGCAGGCCAGAGGTGGATGAACGCAATGCCCTCGTTTGGGTGTAGGGACTGATCAGAGCCTGAAGGTACAGAGGTGCTGTTCCCCTCACTGCTCCATAGGCAAGCACCATGGTCTTGTAGCGGATGCGAGCTTCAACTGGAAGCCAGTGGAGTGTGCGGAGGAGGGGGGTGACGTGAGAGAACTTGGGAAGGTTGAACACCAGACGGGCTGCGGCATTCTGGATGAGTTGTAGGGGTTTAATGGCACAGGCAGGGAGGCCAGCCAACAGCGAGTTGCAGTAGTCCAGACGGGAGATGACAAGTGCCTGGATTAGGATACAGGTGTACCAAGCTTGTAGCGTCATACCCAAGTAGACTCGAGGCTGTAATCACTGCCAAAGGTGCTTCAACAAAGTACTGAGTAAAGGGTCTGAATACTTATGTAAATGTGATATTATTTTTTATTTTATTTTTATAAATGTGCAAACATTTCTACAAACCTGTTTTTGCTTTGTCATTATGGGGTACTGTGTGTAGATTGATGAGGATTTTTCTTTTTTACCATCTTAGAATAAGGCTGTAATGTAACAACATGTGGAAAAAGTCAAGGGGTCTGAATACTTTCCAAATGCACTGTAAATCCATTACAATTAAATGTTTAGCTCGCAACAGAATTACTTCAGCTGTAGAAAGGCATCAGGAGAAATTGACTGTACAACTCAATGCTCTCCAGGGGCTGCCTAGGGACCCAGCATCCATGACAGATCCTAAAGAAGATGCATGCTCATTCAAACACCTCAAACAGCCTTGCAGGCATAAATGTAGGAATCATCTAGATTCTAGACCATTACAGTTATTCATGCAAGCTGTATAGCTCTACATTATTGGAGCACAGGGGATACTAACCAAATCAAGAATACATTATGTATATTAAAACTAGGATTACAGTCTTGACTTGAAGTACCACATCTTGTGGATTTTAACTGAAAGGTGCAGCTTGCTGTTTGAATGACAGGACTGAAAGCAGCACCATTGTCTTTCTGCAGGGATAATGGTTTGTGTTTCAATGCATTGCATCATCCAGATGGCATTGGGCCTGAGAGAGCAGCGCTGTGAAGACTGCTAAGTACAAAACAGAATCTTATACAAAACACACAAACATACACACACACAGTCTGTGAGTAATAAATGTAGTGAACTGCAAGTGCATAAAGAGACATGTAAAAACATGCAGGAAAATGCAGTGAAATGAATCAACATTTCTGCACACATTGCCTTTGTCAAGGTCTGACTTTTAGACTTCCCTAACGAACAGCAATCTTTATCTATTTCATTCTGTATTATCAGCCTTTTCTCTACCAACCTTGGGGAAGGTGGGCAGGTTGAAGGCCTCCGCGTTTTTCCGGGGCATTTTCACGCTCTGAGGGTGTGGCGGAAGCGGGGCAGGATGTGAAGGTGGGGCATGGCGAGGAGGCGGCACCGGTGCCTCCCCCATATCCGTCCCACTATCTATCTTCTGGGGGACAGCCTTGTCCACCTTCAGGAGCTTCCGGACGCAGGCATACTCTGCAGTAGTCTCCGGGGGGTGTGGAGGAGCCATAGCCTGGGGGATGGGCTCAGGCTCGGGGAGTGGTTCATTCAACCCATCCCCGTCTGGGTCAGGGGGGGCAGGGGTGTTGGCTGGGACGGCTGGAGGGGCTGGGGTGTCTGTCTCTCCGGCCCTGCCCACTATTGCGTAGAGGTTGTTATCAGGGCCACGCTTCGGGGAGGAGCGTTGACCTACCTCAGAGTAGGTATGCTCTTCTCCGGTGCCAGAGGGTACCTGGGGTAGCGTCCGTCCCCCGGAGCGCAGGTCAGAGTTGGACCGGCGGCTGGGCAGCAGCAGGAGGTCCATGCTGGCCGGGCGGTTCTTTTTGGATGACTCTGCAGGACACATGGAAACCAGAAAGGTTAGCATTCTTTCACACCTAAATAAAAGAAGGCTTTGTAAAAGGTGTAAAGATCATTGTTTGTTATGTGGTGAAGATTTCTACAAATGGAACTGAACATTTGTGATACTCTTATGCCTAAGAGTTGTACTCACTCTTGCCATTGCAGTTTAGCTTGTTCATCTCACTGTCCGACTTGCTGATGGAACGCAGCCTTGACTGCTTGAGTATACTCTGAAAAAACAAAAAACAAAATTATAGCTTTTCTCAATTGCTTGAAAGCATAATGTATCCATGTTTAACCTAAAGTGATGCTCACAGCTGAGGTAAATGTGGAAATATGAGGGATTCTCTGCTCACCATGTCCATCAGCCTGTGCTTCCCACTTTCATTGGAGACATTATGCGTCTTTCCCTTCCTATAATATACACAACATGTAATGTACTATAAAGATGCAAACAGCTGTGTGTGTGTGAGTGCGTGTGTGTGCACATGGTCATGGTCATTAACTCGTCTCACCTCTGGCAGCCCACACAGAGCACCACGATGAGGATGGTGATGACGAAGGCTGAGGCAGCAGCGATGGCACCCAGCAGCAGGACCTTGCCGTAGGTAGGAGACGTGAAGTTCAGCCCGTCCTGCATGGAGGCCATGTGGGAGCGCTGGCGCTCGCTCTCTCACAACCACACACACACACTCACCACACACATGCACACCACACACGTAGGTGCCACAACCTCCCTAGGATCTGCAGAGATGGAGAAGGAGAGGAAGGAGTTGTGTGTTTGTCATACAGATCAGCTGCTCTTATTTAAGCACACAGAATTATAATGGGAATGGGGAACTTGGGCAAACATATCATTCAAATAAAAGGAGAACGCATCATGAACAACAGTTGTTTCAATTGCTCCGTTTGTTCCATTGCTCCAATAACCAACAGAAGAAAGACATAGGAATAACCAAGAGGTCAACCACAGCATTTCTGACCTCATTTTCTTTGTCCTTCTCTTTTCCTCTCCACTGCCTGTCATTTACCATGTGGCATCTTTATCTTCCTCGGCTCGTTAACGATTTGGGGCATTTCTGACATATCCACAAACGTCAGGTACCTAACCTGTTGTGTCCAAAGAGCCCATAGTGCTACAATCAATATCAATGGAATTAATATCCAGATTCAAACGTGTGCTGGACTTTGTCTTTGAAACTACCACAATACACTTAGCCTTTAGTCTACAGGGACCACCCTCACCAGGACCTCTACACACACATATACTGTATCAATAATCCTTGAGAGACACCAGTTGAAGATATGCTGATATATTTGTTTGTTTAGTGTAATATAATTCACCCCTGTAACTATCATGATTTGCCCCATGTTTTAATCATTTCTTCACAACAGTGTAAATATTAAGAGGGTTGATGAGTCACATTGGAGCTAAAAATACTGTAACACAGACAGAGACACAGGAACAGAGAGAGGAGGCACACATTGTTATTTTATTCCAAAACCAAAGAGAAGACAGAGAACAGAGGAAGTCATATTTTCTTTGATTATATTGTCCTCCAAGCTTTTTCCTCTCTCAGTGAAAGAGAAGTTTAAGGTAGACAGTTTGATTGAAACAAAGAGGAAAAGTCCTTATCAGGATTATTTCATGATGCCCTCCAAATCTCCAAGGGACAGCAGATATGTTTCTGATATAACTGTCCTGGTTGACTAATCAGTTGCATATTTTCACAAAATCTGTTAAATTTATTGAACTACATATTTACAGAAGAAAACATATTCCCCACCAAGTATTTTGAACCAGCAACCCTCAAGGTGCTAGCCTATTTTGAAACAGGTTCCCAAACCTCTTCTCACATATATATTAATTAGTGAATATACTGTAGCACTCTTTATACATTACGATTCATATGACTCATTTTACTCTGATCTATAGTCTAAAGTCTCTATACCCTCAACTTTCATGACTTTCCAGAGTTTATCATAGCCTCTTGTTGACTTACAGTTGAGGCTGAGTCGGGATGGTCTCAATTAGTACATCGAAGGAAAGAGTTCAACTTTGTCTCTGCATGTGGCTATGGTGGGACACCTGTGCTTCTGAATATATTCATGCTAACTATGGAGTGCCATAACCTGGCATGAAAAACATTTGACATGTAAATCCTCAGGTCACACAGCATGCTGAGGTACAGTATAATAAGTCCTTTATGTCCTTGTTAACAGTACAACATTGTTTTCGGCCCCACTACCGCCATCTCCCCCCAAACACTGGTTCAGACCAGCTGCTAGGTAATTAGGAGGTACTGTGCTGTATGTCCAGTTTCACAGGTGCTTTTCCCCTCTTCAATTAACTCCTATTAGGTTACTCCTATATCCTTCTCTCTCACACACCCTTATCTCCCCTGACTGTCTGACATCCCTATCTCGGGATGGGTGGGGGTGTGGGTGGGGGGTTCTGGGCAGGTGGGGGGAGTTCTGGGCTGTGAGCCTTTGTGCTTGCATCATCCATTCTATAGGAACAGATGAGGTTGTAAATAATGTAGCACTGATTTGCAACATATGGAAATTTCACACAGGGAATTTCACCACCAACAGATATGCATGTTTCTGCAAAGTGTTGATATCTTTGAAGCATTTATCTTATGTCCTCCTTGGGATTTGGAGTAAATAATTGGTGGAATGCACACACATTCTTTTTTGGTTTTAGCAAAAGAGTGTCTATGGTCTGATCAATTCAGTGCTATGGGACCAATGTGCCAATTTGGTATGCACTTACATGGTTTGTATTGGCAATGGTGATCCAAAATGGCTGAATCAGCTCAGATAAATGAGCCTTTACCATCGCAGTGGGGTGTGGTGATGGTCTGTACAGTGGTAGTAGGGCACATGTTTACATTGCAAATTATATGGGAGAGAATGTTCTGATTCCTCCAAAAATATGGTTTCATCCAAACAGTCTTCAGCTGTTCTCATAAGTATGATACAAAGTGCTCTCAACAGGGCACAAACACAAACTGTGCTCTTTCTTGACTCGCAAATTAATCCCTGCTTGATAAATATTAATAGAATGTATTAATAAATTACATTTAGCAAAGGTAGAGAGCCAACCACTACATACCTGTACACATCTTTTGGCAATGACTGTACAATACATTGAGGCAGAAAACATGCTTAATAACAGCTCTTTATTACCTTACTACTTAATGGATGTACTTATACACTACCGTTCAAAAGTTTGGGGTCACTTAGAAATGTCCTTGTTTTCTAAAGAAAATCACTTTTTTTTGTCCATTAAAATAACATAAAATTGATCAGAAATACAGTGTAGACATTGTTAATGTTGTAAATGGCTATTGTAGCTGGAAACGGCTGATATTTAATGGAATATCTACATAGGCATACAGAGGCCCATTATCAGCAACCATCAATCCTGTGTTCCAATGGCACGTTGTGTTTGCTAATCCAAGTTTAGACAGGAGAGGTGAAAAAACCTGTAACTTTATACAATTAAATACATTCTCACCAGAATTCAAATGTCTTTAACTGCTTTCCAACTCCTTCCCCAGAGTTGACCCAGAATATGTATTTTGTAACACTCTCACCAGAATATCCTGAATATTCTGAAATACCCAAATGGATCCACAAAGTCATATTCTATTCATTCACAAATCTGACAGATTCCAGTGTATCTAAATCGCCTTGGGAACAGAACACATGTGTAGAGAGCAAGGGTAAGGCAAGAGGAAGAGAGGAAGCAGAGTAGGGCTGAAAGGAGGGCGAGGAAGAAGGAGAGAGACAGGCACATCAGTGTATGCGTGGGACTTCAGTGATAGGTGTTTGAAGAAGCTGAAAAGCTGATGATGAGAGGAGGCTGTCACAATCCCAGAGCCTGGTTCCCAGAGCTGCTGCCTTGTTGTCTCTGTCGGTCCTCCTCCTCCTCCCAACATATTCTAATCTACTCTCTCTCTCTCTCTCTCTCTCGTTCTCTCTCTCTCTCTCTCTCTCTCTCTCTCTCTCTCTCTCTCTCTCTCTCTCTCTCTCTCTCTCTCTCTCTCTCTCTCTCTCTCTCTCTCTCTATACCTTCCCTTACCCCTCGGCTCATAGGCAGAGTGACGCCTCAGCACTGCAGTGTAATCTCTGGCCCTGGAGCAGCTTCCTCTAAGCTAACCAATTGGACGTTGCACTCCAAGCAGAGCAGAGCAAAGCAGTCAAATGGTCCTTCACCAGAGCCTCCTCTGCTAAACAAAGCCCCTCTCCCCAGCCACAGAGAAAAACCCCTCATCCTATGGCACTCTACTACGCGCTTATACCTCAAACTGTAAATGTTCATTCTTCTTCTAATCTTGTCCTCCCTCATATCCCTCATTCCAGACATCCCCTTGTGTTGCCCTACCTGTCTGTGTGTTACTGGGGTGACAGGAGGCTGGCCATGTCAGAGTATAAGGGAGCTAAGGAGAGGACATGTGGTGTGGGTCCTTGAGAGACCATAGAGACAAGTTTTAGAGCATGTTGATGCACCTCTTTATGCCTACATTATGTCTTTAAGCCTGTATCTGCATGCTCATCTGTTTTGTGAAGAAGGGATCCGGGGGTGTATTTAATCTGTATAGTCTGGAAAGGGTACTGGGTTGGAAATCTTTAAAAAATGTGTCTGTGCTTGTCTACCTACCATCAACCCTCAAGCATCCTATGCAGACAGAAAGACAGACAGACAGACAGACAGACAGACAGACAGACAGACAGACAGACAGACAGACAGACAGATAGATAGATAGATAGATAGATAGATAGATCGATAGATAGATAGATAGATAGATAGATAGATAGATAGATAGATAGATAGATAGTGAAAGAAACAAAAAAACTGAGAGAGGCAAGTAACTGGAACAGGGATGGGCAATTGCAGCCTCTAATGATGAGTTCAGATTTTATTGTGGCCCCCACCCCCATCAAAGTTACCCATCCCTGAACTCGAACATCCTTCATACACCCCAGGCCCATGCAAAAGGGCTCCGGTAATTAAAACATGTCAGCATCCTATCAGTGTGAGTGGGGGATACTGTACACAGAGCACTTTCAAGTAGAGCACAGGGAAATAAATACATACAGGATGTTCCTTTAGTTTAAAACAAATAGGAAACACCAACTGAAGCATGCAAAGCTCCAGCAATCGAAACCATAAATAAGTAGAGGAGTAAGAGCAGCACCTTGTTGGTAGGGTAGGGTTACACCACTACACTAAGGAGTATACACACAAACGATGTGCATCAAAAAATTGACTTTGTAAAACCATTCCTGTGGTTCCAAGTAATTTGTATGGGCTTATTTCACATGTGCATCCAAAATACTGCTAATGGCAGTTCTGCCACTTCTCTCGTGTGTCAAGGACAGTGAGTGGACAGAGGTAATTATGTTAAATGCCTAAACATTTAGCACCTGTTGCCTCTGTGCAGCAAACTGGGAATGTTCCTGGAGACTTTAGGCAGCTTAACATTCCAGAATTCCCATTGATCGTTCTTCATGTTTACCAATTCGGTGCCTTTTGAGAAGTGTAACTTTGTTTTTAAAAAACATTCTGTCATAGAGAACACATGTTCAACTTCATAAAAAATATGTTATCCCATCTCAAAAGGTTAAAGTTGCAATCAG